AAACCCTAAATCCTAAAACCTATACCCTGGCGAATGGCCTTGTTGTACTTCTTGGACTCCTCGATGCGGGCCTTCTTGCTCTTCTGCACCTGAGCGTCGGGCGCTTTGCGGGTAATGTACTTAAAGGGTTTAGGGTTTAGGGTTTAGGGTTTAGGGTTTATAGGGTTTATAGGGTTTAGGGTTTGGGGTTTAGGGTTTAGCGTTCAGGGTTTAGGGTTTAGGGATCTACTTGGAGGATCATGGGACTTAGTAAGTAAGGTTACAAGTCCCCTAATTGGGGTTATACGTATAGATATCTTAATTCTAGCCCTACTTACTAAGTCCCATGATCCTTTAAGTGGGTGCCTAAATAATTACCTCTACTATTTGGGGGGTTCCTTGCTGTAAATATAGTAGAATATACCCGCAACCCTGTTCGAATTAATTATTAAGGCCCCTGTACGACCTATAGAATGAAACGCAAAGTCCCGATGCCTGGTCGTACTCGGCAGTGCCCTTCTCGGTGGCCTCTCTTGATAGCCACAGGCAGTGCTACGACATACACATGAGCAGGCACAAACAACTTTGGCATAGCCTTCGCACATGCACTGCATCCCCAAAGCCTATATAAGCCCGAAACTTCCTAAACCCAATTGAACCCTAGAGCCTCAAGCCTGAACCCTAAGCCCCAAATGAACCCCAAAATAAACCCCAAATAAACCCTAAATAAACCCCAAACAAACCTTAAATAAACCCCAAATAAACCCTAAAACATCCTAAAACCCAATCGGTGGGGCCTTCTTTGCCACGAGCTTTCGCTCAGCAGCTCCAGGGTTCAGCTCCTCCATAAGGGCCTGAATAGCCACGATTTAGGGTTTCAGGGCTTGGGGTTTTGGTGTTTAAGGGTTTTGGGCTTAGTGATTTAGGGTTTAAGGGCTTGGGGTTTTGGTGTTGAAGGGTTTATGGGTTTATAATGATTTAGGGTTTAAGGGTTTGGGGTTTAGGGTGCTGGCTTGTGGTTGAAGACGTGCATTCCCGTCTCTTCGTGGTCTCTGTGGAGAGCTTGCGTCGTCATGTCAGCTTGAGTTTACCCTAATCAAACCCTAAACCCTAGACCCTAAACCTTAAACCCTAAACCCTAAACCCCAAACCCCAGACCCTAGACCCTAGACCCTAGACCCTAAACCCTAAACTCTTGAAACCTTGCTCGAACCCGCGCGCTTTCC